TCGGCGGGGTCGCAGCTGCCTCTGGAAGGCACCGAGAGGTACATTTTTCGCGCAATGGTCAAAATCAAGGTTTTGTAACGCGAGCTGTGCCACAGTGAAATGGCACTAGCCGGTGGGAGCCTCTTGGCCCCAGGCCGTCCACGGCCAACTTAGCCGATGTAAGAGGCTCCCGCTGATCTTAGACCGCGCAAGCACTCCAGCGTGGCTAGCCACACTTAGACCCGTTAGGCCTCCAGGCTCAGAACTTAGACTACTACCCAACCAGGTAAAGAACGAAAGAAAGAAACGAACAGACAACCCAAACGAGGGATGGGAGGAGGACAATTCAAACAGCGCCTGACGCATGGCGTTCAGGTGTGCGACTACGCGCTCGTCTACGCGGAGAAGAAGAACGACGGCGAAGCGCCGTACTCGGTCTCCTTCACCGCGACGCAGAGCGGCGACGTCATCGTACAGCTGCACCCGCACTCGCAGCTCGAGCGCGCTGTGCGCCAGGAGCGGCAGGCGCAGGCCACGGAGCCGCCTGCGAGCGCGAGCCCTGCGGCGCCGCCCGCCCCTGCCGCCGCGCCGCCAGCCGCGGAGCCGGCGCCCAAGACGTACGCCGCCGCAGCCGCATCGCAGCCGCAGGGTGCCACCGCGGGTGGCCAGCCCGCCGCGCCTGCGGGCCCGGCCGCCGCCGCGCGCGTGCCGCCGCCGCCCAGCGGCGGCGGAGTGCGCGGCTGCTCCTTCACTGTCCCTAACCCGGGCAGGAAGCGTGGGCAGCAGCAGCGCGGCAAGGGCCGCGGTGCCAGGGGCCGTGCCGATGCTGGACCCCGTCTCGTTGACAAGAACGCGCTGTCCGCGCGCGGCAGCGGGCCCTCGCGCCAGTCGCGCTCGCCGTCGCCCGACTCTCCGCCCGCCAAGCGGGCCGCCTCCGCTGACTCGTCCGGCTATGAAACCGATACGCCGGACGAGGTGCAGCAGGAGGCGGTCCGCAGGGTATGCGGCGCGCTCGGCATGAGGGAGCAGTTTGAGGCGGCGATGGCGGCGGGCGAGCTGCTCGAGATGCTCGAGAGCTTGCCGCGAGGGGCGGTCGAGGCCTCTGTCCGACAGATGCGGGGTTACAACCGCACGGGCGAGTGGCCAGAGCCCATTCTCACCAGCCCTGCCCCGCAGCGCGGCCGCTCGCCAAGCCCCGTCGATGAGTGGTCAGATGGTTAGTGCCCGAGAGCGAGGGGTCCGGGGGGGAGCACAAACATAGGACGCCCAGCCTTGCCCTCGTGCCGCCGAGTGCATATCCTATGCGAGAGAGATCCCCTGTGCCCTGTGCCCAGCCCTCTCCGCGCGGCGATGCGCCCTCCCCCCTCGCTTTTGCAAAATCCTGCAAAGGTGGGGACGTGTCTGTCCTCGACCCAGCCCTAGCTTGGGATGTCCGTTGTATTTATTTATTTATTTAGGAGGACAGGGTCCCCACCTGCACGAGCAGGATTTTGGAAGGACGCGTGCCTGCTGATGAATTTCTTTTTTCTGTGCACGGAGCTAACCTCCAGGTTGTTCCCTGCCCGTCGTCCGCGTGGGTGAATTCTTTTTTCCGGAATTCGCGCCCCCTCCGCCATGTGGGCGGTCCCACGACGGCTATTGTTCGCGACTTCATCTCGATGCACACCATTCCCACGCGCGAAGCCGAGACTACTGTCTGCGCCGCGACTACTGTCGACGATCGCCCGCGACTACGACGTTGTTGTCTGCGGCGGTGGCGTCATCGGCGCCTCGGTGGCCTACCACACAATCTTGGCCGACCCTCGTCTGCGGGTCTGCGTGGTCGAGAGGGATGTGCGCTACACGCACGCGAGCGCGATGCTCTCGGCCGGCGGCATCCGGCAGCAGTTCTCACTGCCTGCCAACATCCAGCTCTCGCTCTACGGCCTCGACTTTCTCCGGCGCGCCGCCTCGGACCTGTGCGTGCCGGGAGAGGAGCCGCCCGACCTGCAGTTCAAGGAGCAGGGCTACCTGTTCCTCGCGAGCGAGCAGGGCGAGGCGACGCTGCGGCGCAACCACGCCACCCAGCGCGCCGAGGGCGTCGACTGGATGCGCCTGCTCGACCCAGACGAGCTCGCGACTCGCTTCCCTTGGATGGACGTGGGCGGCGTGGCGCTCGGCTGCCTCGGCGAGCACTCGGAGGGGTGGTTCGACCCGTGGGCGCTGCTCACCGCCCTGCGCTCGAAGGCGCGGTCCCTCGGCGTCACCTTCCACGCGGGCGAGGTCACTGGCTTCGATCTCGAGCGCACCGCGCCAGGTGCGATTCGTGCCGTCCGCGTCGCCGACGCTGAGGGCGGCTCATCGCTCCTTGGCGCCCGCGAGGTGGTGAACGCGGCGGGGGCCTTCGCCGGCCAGCTGGTCGGGCTGTGCGGCGCCGGGGTGGCCCCTCTCCCCGTCGCCGCGCGCAAGCGGTGCGTCTTCTCCTTCGACGTGGGAAGCCGCGGCGGGGCGCGGGAGGCGGCGTCCCGCCGAGCGGCAGCATTTGCACGTCCATGACACGTCCATGACGCGTCCGAGACGTGTCGCATAGGCGAGAGGGGTCCCGCCGGGCGGGACCACGCCTCTCGTCGTGGACCCGTCCGGCGTCTACTTTCGCCCCGAGGTGCGCCGCCAATGAGTCGCTCCGCCGGGAGCGTCTCACATGACAACATACACATACACACATTCATTCATGACTCTCAGTCAGCGCTTTGATCCCAATCACGACACATGTGTGACTCGCCTAGTGTGGAGACGCCGTC